ACCCACACTCAGCCCTGCTCCCTTTGGCCGCCCCCCAAAACCAGCTCCAGCCTCGCCACAAGCTCAGCACAAAGTTTCAACAGCCCCTTAAAAGCGTCGCAGCGAGCCCGTCCCCACACGCCCAAGCAGGGACTTTACACCCAAGCCCGGGGTGGGGGGGACACACAGGTCAGCTGGGTGCTGGGGTCCCCCGCGGGGGGCTGTGCCCCCATCCCCACCTCACCTGAACCTCTCCTGCCCGGCCGTGTCCCAGAGCTGCAGCTTGGCCCTGCCGGCGGGCGGCAGGGGGACGGTGCGGCTGTAAAACTCCACACCAACCGTGGGGCAGGGGGTGGCCGCCCCCCCGCTCGCCCCCTCGGCGAAGCAGCGCAGCAGCGAGGACTTCCCCACCGCCGCATCCCCCAGCACGATGACACGGAACTGGTAATGTCCCCCGGGATCGGGGGCTTGGGGGGGACCCGTCACCGTCCCCATGCTGGTGGCTGCACCCGGTGAGGTGGAACTCTTGAGCTGGTGGGGCCAGGGCCAGGTCTCCACCCTTGTCCCCACCCCACAGCACCTTCCCTGGGGACGGCTCTGGCCTCCCAGTCACCTGGGCTGGCAAACAAACCGTCCCGGGGAGGAGGGAGAAGCCACCACCTCTGTCCTGTCCCTGTTTGGTCTTGTCACACACCAGCTGTCCCACTGCCTGGCTTTGGTAACAAAGCTGGGGACAGCCAGGCTGTGGCTGTACAGGCTGCTGCAGGGGGCTGGTGGCCCCAAGGGAGCCAAAATCCCTGGGGGAAGCTGGGGGGGACTACAACAGGAACAGGACAAACTCTAGGGGACAGGGGAGCGCCCCTGGGGTCAAGAGGCCCGGACAAAGGTGCTCTCTGCAAACAGCTCCTGTCACCTGCAGTGACACCAGGGACTTTGCCATCACCCGGCCCTTCTCCTCGTGACAATGTGCAGAGTCTGGGAAAAACAGCCCCCCATGACAGCTTAGAGGTTATTTTCATCCCCACTTTGTTCTCCAAAACGAGAAAAAGCTGCCATTTGTCTGGGCAGGAGCCGTTCCGTGTGCCCCCACCACTCCCGACCTGGGGAACCCCCACCCAGGGCTTCGGAGGGGGAAGCCCTGGGCATGGGTGCTGCCCCGGCTCCGTGTCTGCAGGAGGGAGCATCCAGCTCCTGGTCAGTGCAGCTCTGGTGGGCAAAGGGCCCCCACATCAGCTCCCTGGGGTGGCTTAACTCTGAGGAGCACAAACTTGAGGGAAAAAATAGGTCAGACACGTTAATTTCCTGTAGAAAAGCAGCACCTCTGAGCGGCACAGAGTGTAGAGCCCCAGAAGGGGCAGAACCTCACCCTGCAGGATTCAGAGCCTCAGGTGGGAGAAGCTGGTCAGATTTGAGGTCAGTTCAGCCTCACCCCCCCGAGGGTCCCCCAGCACCACCCAGCCAGGGCAGGATGCAGCTCAGCACCTGCTGCAGGCTAAAGGCAGCACCCCAGAGCAGCACACCCCAAAGACACAGGAAGGATTTCAAGTGACTGTTGTGTTTATTCACCATCAAAATGTTTTATATCCGGACCCCTCCCCAAGCTCTGCTCCTGAGAAACTCCACAGAAGGAGTTTTCTTCCCTTCTGTGTTTAAGCAGGAGCTTGAGCAGCACCTGGAGTGGCTGTTCCCACCTGGGGGAGCTCACGGCTCGGGAAGGAGCCTGGATCTTGCTGCGCAGAGCTCCTGCTCCTGGAGAAAGCCGGGAGGGACTTAAGTCTTGCACCGCAGCACTGAGACCCCCAGGGACTGGCTCACCTCAGCTCCACGCTCTACTCACACCTGAAGAGGGGATAAAAAAATAATCCAGCCTGAATGAAGGAAGAGCAGTTGGACTTGGCCCTGGGCTCAGGGTGGTGGCTCTGGCTGCTGCCTGGCCTCAGCCCCATATCCGCAGGATTCATCCAACAGTCTCCAAAGAAAGGAGTCATCACGGACCAGGCTGCGCTCAGATAATAGGCTGCCCAATTAAAAACCTTACTAATCAAGTTGATCATTTCAACCTACAAAGCTCAGATTACGGACTGGCCACTTCCAGCCCAGGCACAGTCAGCTTGAACTAGCCTCTGTCCTCCAAGACTGGTGAGGTCCCACTCAAAACACCCAGCAGTTACCCCCAAAGGACACTCACGCGCTCCATGTAACGGCATCCCCACGGTTCGGACCTTAAGGAAAACAAATCGAATTCCTTCAACAGGGACAGGGGCTCATAAACTCCCAGCCTTTTCCACTAAACAAGTAATTCCTGAAAAAAACAGCCACAGGTTAAGTATCGAAAGTCACAAAATCATCTGGCTTGAAAAAGCCCTTGAGGCTCCTCCAGCCCAACCATGACCCTCCCCCTGACCGTTCCCAACTCCCCCAGATCCCTCAGCGCTGGCTCAGCCCGACTCTTCAACCCCCCCAGGGATCCCGGGGACTCCCCCCTGCCCTGGGCAGCCCATTCCAACGCCCAACAGCCCCTTCTGCACAGAAATCCTTCCTCAGAGCCAGCCTGACCCTGCCCTGGGCAGCTTGAGGCCATTCCCTCGGGGCCTGGCGCTGGGGCCTTGGCTCCAGAGACTCATCCCCCCTCTCTGCCCCCTCCTGGCAGGGAGTTGCCGAGGGCCAGGAGGTCTCCCCTCAGCCTCCTCTTCTCCAGACTGAACCCCCCCAGTTCCCCCAGCCGCTCCCCAGCAGACCTGTGCTCCAGACCCTGCCCCAGCTCCGTTGCCCTTCTCTG